TGGAAAATGATTTATGGTATTTTCCTTAGCTTTCATGAGCCTCGTTTAAAGAACCTCAACAAGATCACATCAGACAAAGAAATGGAAAGAAATTAGGTATTTTCATTGTTTGACAGTTTCAGCTAAAAAGAATTTCGGGTCAATAATTGTTCTATTTTCCTCTTCACCCTTTCTTGGGACTAAATGCAACATTCTTTAAATTGTAAATAGATAGTTCTAAAATAGCTAATATAATTTTCCTGGATAATATTTAAAAAGGATATGTAGTCTACTATCATGCATTATCCAGACACAAATACAGTGAGATGATTTTGACTCAAACCACTCTAATAGCCCGTTCAGACGCTTTTTTTTAAACCAGTTCATAATCGCTGGGTTTTTTAAGACAGCATCGTGTCGCGTTCACACGTACTATAAGCCAAACCAGTTTAACTATTCTGACCTCTTCGGTCGGAGGTTAGAGTTAACTACGCATGGGTAGCTACATATTCTTTATTCGGTTCTCGCACGCGTTCGATAACATTGGCACTGTCTGACCCCGATATTTTCACAGGAATGTAACTTACTGCGTACTGCGCATGCTCAAAGCAAGCTGGAGCCGGGGTTTTTAAGCCAACTGTTCAGACGGCTAAGATGAACCAGTTTAAAATAAAAAGCATTCTCGAAGACGGGTCGTGAGCTGGGTTTTTTAAACTGGTTTATTTGCCACACATTTGCGTTCAGACGCTTAAGTTAAACTGGTTTAACGATCCCCAGGGTTTTTAGACCAGTTCAACTTAAGCGTCTGAACGGGTCGCGAGCTGGGTTTTTTAAGCTGGTTTATTTGCCCCACATTTGCGTTCAGACGCTTCAGTTAAACTGGTTTAACGATCCCCGGGGTTTTTAAACCAGTTCAACTTAAGCGTCTGAACGGGCTATAAGAACATTTGAACTTTTAGGAAAGATTATCGGGTACTCCAAAGATATTGTTCATCAGATGGCTAGAACAAAGGGTTGTAAAAGCCCTTTACCCTTAATTAAGGGTCGTGAGCTGGGTTTTTTAAACTGGTTTATTTGCCACACATTTGCGTTCAGACGCTTAAGTTAAACTGGTTTAACGATCCCCAGGGTTTTTAGACCAGTTCAACTTAAGCGTCTGAACGGGTTGCGAGCTGGGTTTTTTAAGCTGGTTTATTTGCCCCACATTTGCGTTCAGACGCTTCAGTTAAACTGGTTTAACGATCCCCGGGGTTTTTAAACCAGTTCAACTTAAGCGTCTGAACGGGCTATAAGAACATTTGAACTTTTAGGAAAGATTATCGGGTACTCCAAAGATATTGTTTATCAGATGGCTAGAACAAAGGGTTGTAAAAGCCTTTTACCCTTAATTAACCTGTTGTATTCACTACAATATATCCGGGATGGGTCTATAAGATAAGATTAGATTTATTGTATCTAAACACCCATTAGCCATTGTCAGGTTCATTATGTATTTGTATTCTGCCTCAATGAATGAATGTATATAAATAGAATTACTAATTGTCTAATCTGTCTAAAATCATAAATTTATAAAAATAAAACTGACATTTAAATTACACAGGTGCTGAATGAGAAATTCCCATAACACTATTAATCGTTGTACAATCAATCAATGTTCATATTGATAAAAAATAATCCCTTGTCTTATACATTAAATATAGGAGAAAAAGAGAGAGAGAGAGAGAGAGAGAGAGAGAGAGAGAGAGAGAGAGATGGGGTTTAAAGTTGCAATTTCATATTTTTAAGTTATATTTTTAAAATTTATTAAAATAAAGCCTTAAAATAGATGGTATCTATAAACAGTCCTACCTTGTTAAAGAATAATCTTATTAATCCTATAATTCACTATTGCCAGTTGAGAAATTGGCAAAAATATCCTTTTCAACTTCAAATTCCAACGTTTGAAGATAGCTATTCCATGGTGGGGAATAGAAAAACAAGAGAGGTAATTGTGTTATTATTTCCGGGGTCAAAGGATTTTTAAGTGGGAGAATAATACCTATGATCGTATAATAGCGAGTTGACAACCTATTGAGCAAAAGACATAAAAATAATTATGTTTTGACTTTCTTAGAAAATATGAAATTATCGCTTTAACGTCTACTCGACACAAACTAGGTCATTTTGGGACGAACAAATGGTTTAATTTTATTTCATTAATTTAATTGCGCGTAGGGACCTTTAGCAGTGAGAGGAAACCAGAGGACCCAGAGAAAACCCACGAGGCTGGGCAGGCGACCCTACTCCTTGTCACGTACAACCGGGGATTCGAAACCACACCAGTTGACTCAATGACAGGCCTTATGATAGAGTGCGCACATGCTAACCATTCGGCCATCCAACCCCAACAAATATAGGATTAAACTAGCCTACATGTATTTTTTATAAAATGCATTTTTCTTAGTTATCTTGTAAAATAATTTCAATTTAAAGATGTATTATGCAAGAGCTAAATCTATCTATTGCAGGTATTTTGTTTAGGCCTGAAATGTTATATAAATTATTAATTAGACATTAATTAACTTATCCAGACCATAATCAACTCTCGATGGCATCGGATGGCTCTGATTTTAAGTAGATTAGAATGGTTCTGCTATTTAATGATTTAATTTAAAAATGAAGACGCAAGGCTAAGATTTGAATGACCAGTATGGTGGTTAAGATCAATGCACACATCTTGTCAAAACTACAGCCATTGATACCTTTGCTCAAAACAAAATAATTTAAATGAAATTTTCAATATATTCTTTTTGCATTATCTATTTTTGAAATATTAACTAAAGATAAAATCCAAATTTTAGTAGATACTTCAATTTTGATTGGCTAAGCACTAAAATCAATCTAATCCAATAAAATTACTAAAATTTGGATTATATCTCAATTAAAATTTCATGAAACAGGCCCCTGATCTTTAGTAGTGGGAGGAAATAGGAGGACCAGGGACAAAAACCCACTAGGTTGGACAGACAATCCTTCTCCTTGTCACGTACAAGCAGGGAATCAAAATCATGCCACTAGACTCAATGACAGACCTTATGATCCAAAGCACATGTGTTAAACCATTGCCCCCCTCCCCCCAACCCCATGTGTTATAAAAACACATCTGTATTATTTATATATTGGAAATAATTTCTATATCAAATAATGAATATATTTTTATATTTTAACTTGATAATATTTAATTCATTATAATTTAAAATATTTGAAACCAATCTGGAGACATGAGAAGTATTTTCTTGATTTTAATGGATATACCTGTCGTCTCACATTCTATTACCTACAATTTTATAATCTTGCTAAGTTATTTTCCACTTTAATTCTATAACAGACCAAAATTCTAAAATAAAATATGAAACTTGAATAAAAGCTGTCTCTATGTAAACTTCCCAAATAAATAGGAAATGGAATGGGGTTTAATACCTTGTCAAAAAAATACTTTATATCATTTTGAGACTAACATATGCCAGTTTTTATTTTTATTGAGTGAGATTCTCAGGGAAAATAGGAAAATCATTACACTTCGCTTAAACATTAAAAGAGCTATTTCAATCTATAGGGTGCTTTTAATGTAACGCGGGTATCATTTAATCTTGTGTATCTAGCACTAATTTCTTTCACTAATTTCATTTAAAATCACCAAAAATCATCTAATTTGTGTCTAGTTTAAAGCTGACTGATCAATTCTGATAATGAGTGTCCAATATACAAGTATTTAATTTCTCGATCACCTTTCAAAAATTAATCATTATTCATCAATAATCAATGGGTTGTTTATTTTTTAAAAGTAAAAGGAAGCCATAAGTATATACATAACAAACACTAATCAAAGCGATGATGACAAACTCTAAATAATTACAGTAAACCGAAGCCATAATTAAAGGAGCTATTTCAATCTATATGATGCTTTATTGTCAAAACTAATATTCCACACTATATAGTATCAGGAATATCACTCTCCACATCAATAATCATAGCAGAAGCCCAACTTTTCCTGGTAAGATCACACCATCAATGTTGATTTAAATTGACAAATAATTCATGTTTTCAATGTCGAAGAAGAATGAATGAGACTTAGCTACTTTAAGGGTAAAATTCAAACAAGAATCTTCAAGATTAATATTTCAATCTATAGAATGAATTTGCCAAGACTAATATTCCAAACTACGGTATAGAACCAAGAATCGCACCAATATTATCAATAGGTCTAGTCCTTCGTAAAAAAACCCAATCTGTACGAGTAACGTATATTCACTAAATCAGTGTTGGCTGATATACGAGAAAAATAGAGAAATTCAGGCACCCAAACCCTTAATTGTCCCCCTCCCCAAAAATCAAATAGACCAGTCCCTGAGTTCGCTAAGCATTCACAGGCTTAAGTTAAGAATTTATTCAACTTTCATTCACTGTTTATGAGAAATATCTTTGATTTATAAACACAAAACATTGCACATAAGTTTCTTATTGATGTATTTGATACATTAAAACAACAAAAGTTTGATAAAGGACTACATTTTAGTTCAAATAAGGCAAACAATTTTGAATAAATTCGAAACTTAAGTCTGAGAATGCTGTGAACATGGGATCTGAAAGCCTTAAGATTTAAATACTTTAAGCTTGTTTGGTTGTAAGTGAGCCCTTAATTCAAATTACTTGATTGCTGAAGGAGATTACATAACAGTAGCTACATAATAAAGTTACTCAATAAAACACTTTTTTCTTTTCTGACCTAAATAAGGGCTTTAACGCTTTGGTACACATGAACAAAACTTTTATAGGAAAGCCCCAATAAGTGACTGTTTGTGTCCAAAACAGTTATAGTTCAAATACATGCCATGCTATAGTATTTAGGAACAATTAACCATTGATTTGAATTAAAACTTTTATAGTAGTCTAAGTGAATGTGTCCAAAACAGTTCAATTAAAAGTATTTATCAATATCTATAGAAATGAATAAAAAATAAGAGATAAAATGTTTGACCAACCTATAATTAGTATTAATTCACCAGTTTGTGATGTTTTATAACCATTCCTTATAACTGCGGTGAAATCTGTAAAAACACCAAATATTTCACTCCTGTTTCAGCTGACTGGTTATGACAGACATCCACTTGATTTTTGTACTAGTCCTGTTATTGATAAGTAGTGTATTCAAGAACACCAGTTGGCTTCTATACTGGGAGAATCCATTTTAACAGCTGGGGAGCAATCTACAGATCTGCTACTGTGTGTAGGTTAAACACAGGGCCAAGAAATGAACACTCTGAAAGAGAATTTTATTTTTAAAGAAACCGAATATTATAACTATTCATTTTAAACAAAAATTTGACTTTGAAAGGGACACTCTAAAAGAGAATTTTATTTTTAAAGAAACCGAATATGATAAATATTCATTTTAAACAGAAATTTGACTTTGTAGAAGATTTGAATAAAAAATGAAAGGAACACTCTAAAAGATAATTCTATTTTTAAAGAAACCGAATATGATAAATATTCATTTTAAACAAAAAAGTAGACTTTGTATAAGATTTGTAAAAAATAAAATGTTGGCAATAAATTATAGAAATATGCTTGTTGCCAGAATGATCCATTATAATTAACCACATTCTTCATTTTAATATTGGGGGGGGGGGGGGGGGTCAGCATCTGTGTCATAAGGTCTGTCATTGAGTCAACTGGTGTGGTTTCAATTCCCCAGTTGTATGTGACAAGGAGTAGGTTGCCTGTCCAACCTCGTGGGGGGGGAATCACGGTGGCTAAGTGGGTAAAACGCTGGCTCGCTTTCCTGGAGGTCGGGTGTTCGATCCCTGCATTGGCCGAGCAAGTTCATCCAGATTTTGTGGCGTGGTTTCCCGCTTGTCAGTGATGCAGAACAGAGGGCCTGACAAGGATAGCTATCTAGTAGTTTGGATTGGACGAAAAAAACGAGGTCCCATGTACACATTGGCTTGCACGTAAAAGATCCCTTGACAGTTGGAATTCAATTTAAGAGTAGGCTGTAGTGCCGCTGCCTGGGCAAAATTTCCCTTATAGCACACTGTATGGCATATGCCCGTCTTTATTAGCCCAGTCCAGAGCAGAACAGTAGGACGTTAAACCCCATTTCATTTCATTTCCAACCCCGTGGGTTTTCTCCAGGTCCTCCGGTTTCCTCCTACTGCTAAAGACCCCTACATGCAAGCAAATTATTGAAATAAAATTGAACTGTATGTTTTGTCCTGAGTGGATGTTAAACTCTCTCTCTCTCTCTCTCTCTCTCACTCTCTCTCTCTCTCTCTCTCTCTCTCATTTAAGTCTTTAGATATAATCACATTGTATTAAAATCATAGGTAAAAGAGAGAGAGAGAGAGACTATCATAGTTGTTCCATTCGGATAGAACGAAAACCGGGTTCCCACGTCTAATTGCACATAAAGAATCTGTAATAGTTGAAATTCAATTGCTGTCCGGACAACTGTCTAGTCATTCCGATGGGATGCAAAACCGAAGTCCTGTGTATACATTGGCATGCAGGTAAAAAATCCTTTTAGAGTTAGAATTCGATATAAAAGTAGGCTATAGTGCCACTGCCCGGGCAAAATTTTCCCTCATAGCCCACTGTATGGAGCATGTCCATCTTCATTAGCAGAAAGTAGGAGTCAAACCCTATTTCATTCATCATCACCAATTTAAATACCAACACTGCTTAACCCTGTATTCACCCTTTATAACAAATGCTCTTTAATGATTATTTCATTATCTAGCCAATTATAGTATTATGAAATTGTCCCTCTAATTCATACATTGTCTGGGTGATAATAGTAGGCGCCTACTGGTTGCCTTCATTCCTATAATAGTATATTGATAAGTTATATCATAATAATAGCTAAATAAAGTGTATTACTGAGTCTCCAAATGCTGTTTTTTCTTAGTAAAGAGAGAGAGAGAGAGAGAGAGAGAGAGAGAGAGAGAGAGAAAGAGAGGTATTATTGAGTCTCCAAATGCTTTTTTTCTTAGAGAGAGAGAAAGAGAGAGAGGGGGGTATTAATGAGTCTCCAAATGCTGTTTTTTCTTAGTAAAGAGAGAGAGAGAGAGAAAGAGAGAGAGGTATTATTGAGTCTCCAAATGCTTTTTTTCTTAGAGAGAGAGAGAGAGAGAGAGAGAGAGAGAGAGAGAAAGAGAGAGAGAGGGGGGTATTAATGAGTCTCCAAATGCTGTTTTTTCTACGTAAAATAAAAGAGAGAGAGAAATGGGGTTTAACATCCACTTAACACAAACTATGGAATTTTGTGATTAAAATATATAACTTGCCTGCGATTAGGGCTCATTTACCTGTGGGAGGAAACTAGGGCTCATTTACCTGTGGGAGGAAACTAGGGCTCATTTACCTGTGGGAGGAAACCGGAGCATCCAGTGAAAACCAATGAAAAACCAATTCCTTATTTAATACAAGCAGGGAATCAAAATCATGTTACTTGGCTCTATGATTCAGAGGTGCACGTAAAAGATCCCTTGGCAGTTGGAATTTGATATTTAGCCTGTAATGCCGTTGTCTGGGAAAAATTTTCCTTACAACACATTGTATGGCGTATGCTCATCTTCATTAGCCCAGTTGGAGGTAATGGACCGCTGCTTAATTTTGACTGTTCAAGTATTTCACTGAACATAATTGACTAGATGTTACAAAAAGAAATTAAAGAATTGAATGTAATTACATTTTCGTCTATTTTAAATTAAGGTTTAAAAAAATAGAGCCATATTATAAGGCCTTTAACCAGTTGGAGGTAATAGACCGCTGTTTAATTTTGACTGTTCAAGTATTTCACCGAACATTATTGATTAGAAATTACAATTATTTTTTTTTAAAAATTGAATATAAATCATTTTATATACATTCATATTACATATGTGTTTTTAGATTCATTTTTGTCTATTTTAAATTAAGGTTTAAAAAAATATAGCCATAAGGCCTTTAACACTCCTTCTTGTCGACAATATGGAAATGACAAATATCTTTTTGACTAAATATTTTATTATAATTTATAAACGTCTAGTAATAATAAAAGAGGAATAGGTACGGTGGATGATTTAGGACACGCAAAAAATAATAGTATCTTGAGCTCTTGAGATACTAAGTCGAGTGCTTGAAATACTAAGTCGAGTGCTTGAGATACTAAGTCAAGTGCTTGAGATACTAAGCTGTATAATTTTGTGCATTATTTAATGATAAACTTGCAGAATAATAATATTCATTTACAGCCCATCCAAAGCTGCAGTGATGGAGCGGATACCCCCCGCCCCCTCCAACACACACACACACAAAGTCCATCCCATGCTCGTCGCCACCACTAAATATTTCCCCGTTATATTTACCCTCTTCCAAGTGGGGAGTATATCACATGTTATGTTACGAATCAATAATTGTATATATCAAGGTTACAGAGTTTACTCCGGTTTCCTCCCACTGCTAAAGACCCCTACGCGCAAGCGAATTATTGAAATAAAATTTTTAAAAAACATGTTAGTCCCAAAATGACCTAGTTTGTGTCGAATGGACGTTAAACCCCATTTCTCTCTCTCTCTACAGAGTTTACAGAGTGCTCAAGGTATTTTTTTTTGCGTGTCCTAAATCAGCCACCATAGATAGGGGTGTGACATAGCCATTTGGCCTGTTCCCCCCAATCTTCCATTCATTTATAGTGGAAAAGGAAAAAAAAGAGAAATAGTTTGTTAAGTCATGAACGAGAGATTTCTCCTGATATTTTGATGCATGATCAGGTAGTCAATAATAAATTCAAGTTGATTCAAAGCATGAACACAAAGCTTTTCAATTTTCATGAATAAAAAGACTGATCGAAGTGCATTTCCTGTCTAACATTTAAAATGTAAGGTAGATGATATACAGGCAAATCATAATGTAATTGAATTGAACAGGGGAGCCACGGTGGCTAAGTGGGTAAGACACTGGCTCGCTAGCCGGGAGGTTAAGTGTGTTCGATCCCTGCATTGGCTGAGAAAGTTCATAAGGATTTTCTGGCATGGTTTCCCCTTGTCAGTGGTGCAGGATGTAAAATTATTATAATTTTTTTTTTTCTGTCAGTAATTATACCTACTTCTGTTCTTCATTAACTATAATTATTTTGAGTAGAGGTCAGAGGTCAGAGGTCACAAGATGACATAACCTAATTATCCAGTGATAAAATAGGTTCCATGTCAATCAGAAGTCAACAAAGTGTGAAGTATTCTACCATATGTCCAGTCTTCAAGACTATCTTAAACCCAACATATCTTGGCAAGTTCATCAAAGGTTTTACGCTGTGTATCATGCGCTTAATTAAAGATCTCTATGATAATTAACCATTTTAAATTAAACGTCTTGAATTAGTTTATTTAATGATTAAATTTTTTTTAACACAATTTTTTTCAAAGTACTTTTAGTCTAATCAAGGTAAATTATTTACCAGAAGATTAAAGAAAATAAAAAAAATGTTGCCAGAAATATCTGCAATATAGGTTTTTCATACAGTTTTTGTCTAGATTTGTACTTTAAACTTATGGTACTCACAAATTTTTGATTTATAAACCTACAGGTTTAAACAATAGAGTATAAAAGTAGTTTTCTTCAATAATATGCATTTTGAGTGCAATGATTGATGAACAATATTCAAAAAGATAGAATAGTAATGGTGTTTAATGTCTAAACTAATAAATAATGTTTTTTTTTAATATGAAAATTAGATGACCACAAATGTCTTTCCTGCTATTTCAGCTTGTGAATACAGCAGAAGAAGTCTAATATAGGCTTATTTATATGGTTTGCATCCGAAATCCCACTCAACGTCCACATGCACCCCAATCAACCAATCAATCAAACTGTTTGTATTCACAGAACTAAACAAATGTCATTTCTAGAAAAATTGAAGAAAGAAATGATGTTCCCTTCAATAAACCCATAAAGTAGAGTGACTACGTGTGGCGCTAGGCACTGAAAATTTGCCAAATAGAAGACAAAAAGATTGGCACCCACCCCACCCATCTTGTACGCCTATGACCGTACATTAAGGAACTGGCAATACAAATCTCTTCAAAACAAGATTTAATAAGTAGGGTTGTAGCAGAAGAGAGTTTTATCAATTTTGTGGAATTAGAAACAGGATGCTACCTGCAAGCCTATAGACGGATGTAAATAAACTTTTTAATTTTTATGGAAAATTTTATGTCTCATGCCAGATAATAATTTACCGGTAACCTTGACACTGAGGTAAATAAGAAACGCATAAAAAATTATCATTAAAATTACAGGTGAAAATAAGAACCTTTTCAGGTAAAATATGAAAATGTTAGACGCTTTCTGCTGATAATTGTGCTTAACCTTTTTCTTAGCCAATTTCCAATTTCATTTCTCTCTAAGTTCATTGGACATGCTTTGGGTTCAGTGAAGATGAACAAATCAGATAATCTTACATCCACCAAAATACATACCCATAATATTATTATAATCCCTGTTACATTGGACATGCTTTGGGTTCAGTGAAGATGAACAAATCAGATAATCTTACATCCACCAAAATACATACCCATAATATTATTATAATCCCTGTTACATTGGACATGCTTTGGGTTCAGTGAAGATGAACAAATCAGATAATCTTACATCCACCAAAATACATTAACATGTGGTTCAAGAGAGAGGGAGAGAGAAATGGGGTTAAACGTCCACTCGACACAAACTAGGTCATTTCGGGAATAGCATATGGTTTAATTTTATTTCAATAATTACTCTTATATATCAAATTACAACTGCCAAGGGATCCTTTACGTGCATGACAATGTATACACAGGACCTCGGTTTTTCGTCCTATCCGAATGACTAGACAGCTGTCGTTGTCAGGCCCTCCATACTGCACCACTGACAAGAGAAAACCATGTCTGAAAATCCCGATGAACTTTCTCGGCCAATGCAGGGATTGAACCCGCGACCTCTAGGCTAGCGAGCCAGCGTCCGACCCACTTAGCCAGCGTGACTCCTTCAACAAGTGCTCTAATCTCTTATCCTTACCAAGAACAAAGAAAATGTCATACAATGATTATTTTCCATATCAATTGTATTGTTATGGTTTTAAAATTTGGTATCTGATGTTGAGGAGTCTACAGCTGGTCTGATCCTTCAATATAGCCCGCCCACAACAGTTACTATGATAAATAAAACATTCATTAACAAAGATCAAAGTAGACAGCCGTACTATACAAGACGCCAAGAAAAAGATAAATCTCGATCCATTCATTCACAAATTTAAATAATATGAAGACTATCTCAGCCATTAACTGTTGCAACCAAGATGCCAAGCAGTGTTGTTGTAGTATTTACAGTGCTGTTGTATTATTTACTGTACAGTTACTGTATTTACAGTGCTGTTGTAGTATTTTTAGAGATGCTTTAGTATTGACTTGCTATTATTGTATTTACAGTGTTGTAGTATTTGCAGTGTTGTAGTATTTACAGTGGTGTTGTATTTGCAGTAATGTTGTATTAGTATCCCATACAGTGTTGTTGTAGTAATTACAGTGCTGTTGTAGTATTTACAGTGTTGATGTAGTATTCACAGTGCTGTTGTAGTATTTACTGTACTGTTGTATTTACAGTGCTGCTGTATTAGTATCTTGTACAGTGCTGTTGTAGTATCTACTGTGCTGTTGTAGTATGTACAGTGTTGATGTAGTATCTACAGTGATGTTGTAGTATTTACAGTGCTTTTGTAGTATCTACTGTATTGTTGTAGTGTTTACAGGGATGTTGTAGTGTTTACAGTACTATCATAGTATTCACTATGCTGTTGTACTATTTACAATACTATTGTAGTATTTACAGTGTTGTTGTAGTGTTTACAGTGTTGTTGTAGTGTTTACAGTGATGTTGCAGTGCTTACAGCACTATTGCAGCATTTACTGTGCAGTTGTTGTATTTCATTTACATTGTACAATTATTTTTTGTTTTTCAAATCCCAGGAAATGTTTATGTAAGTGTCATTCTCTGCACATATTTCTTGAAGTTTCAAAATGTCAAACAATTTTTAATGTCTTGATAGTCATAATATTTATTGTTTAAAGAATATCTAAATCTGAATATTGATACAACTAAAATAATATTATTAAGTGTCAAACAAAGTTTATATGAGAGAGAGAGAGAGAGAGGGAGAGAGAGAGAGAGAGAGAGAGAGAGAGAGAGAGAGAGAGAGGGGGGGGTAACTCCACTTGACACAATCTAGGTCATTTTGGGACTAACATATGGTTCAATTTTATTTCAATAATCGCATGCGTGTAGGGGTCTTTAGCAGTGGGAGGAAACCGGAGGACCCGGAGAAAACCATCAAATCAATCGCTGTATGAAACTATTGAGTTTTTGGTCAAAAATATCGATTGGCTGTGTCTTCATGGGTCATTTTCATAGGTGAATTTCATCCCACCTCAAAATCCAGAATATTTATTTACCAGGGGAGGGGATGGAGGGAATTACTACTGCTCCCCATTTTGATTGAGCAGAAAGAATAATCGTCCTGCCCGGCCATTTTAATCCACCAATACCACTGCATTTCATTTATTTACATTGGTTGCCAACAGAAAGAGTTAAGCCTAAAGAATATAACAATTTTACTTTCTAACATCTTCATGTTTGTTGTTTATTTCTTACAATGCCTGTGTAGTTTGTCTTGTCTACGTGTTTGTCTTATCGGTTTTGCTTTGGGTGTAGTGAAGTTCTCCTGCACATGCTATCATAAGCTTTGTACTGACAGAGTTAAGCCTAAAGAATATACATGTAACAATTTTATTTTTTAACATCTTCATGTATTGATATTTATTGTTGTTTATTTCTTGTAATGTCTGTGTAGTTTGTTTTGTCTGCTGGTTTGTTTTATTGACAATGTTTGTGTGTAATGGAGTTCTCTTGCACTATTCTATCATAAGCTATGTAATGTCTTTACCACAGTTATTTAATAGATAATACCATATAAACTGTAATTTTCTATTACATATAGACTAGACAGCAGCAGATTAACTTGTTCCCAGCTGGCATGTGTAACAGGATGATAACAGGTAAAAAAAATACCTGAAGAGGTATATATATATATATATATGTACCTGTAAGATGAATGAAATGCATCATTAACATTCTTCCAAAGATCTACAGTACAATGCAGAGAAAGAGAGAGAGAGAGAGAGAGAGAGAGAGAGAGAGAGCGTTTAAGTCCACTCGACACAAACTAGGTCATTTAGGGACTAACATATGGTTTAATTTTATTTTAATAATTCGCTTGCTCGTAGGGGTCTTTAGCAGTGGGAGGAAACCGGAGGACCCGGAGAAAACCCACGAGGTTGGACAGGCGACCCTACTCCTTGTCACGTACAACCGGGGATTTGAAACCACGCCAGTTGACTCAATGACAGGTCTTATGATACATGCTAACCATTCGGCCATCCAACGCCCCTTAGAGAGAGATAGAGAGAGTGGGGGGGGGATGGGGCTTACCCTCCACTATTCATCATTCATTACTAAATAATTTATATACCGGATACAAGAAGAGGGATATGAGAAGAGGGATATGAGAAGAGGTGACTAAAGCTGCACAGGCTGATGTATCTGTGTGGATACTGGTTCAAGACAGAGATGCCCAATTTATATACCCAATAAAAACCATATCTAGCTAAAATATATAACGAGAGAGAAATAGGGTTTAACACCCACTAGACACAATCTAGGTCATTTCGGGATTGACATATGGCTAAATTAAATTTCAATAATTCGTTTGTGAATAGGGGTCTTTTAGCTGTTGGAGGCAACTAGAGATTGCAGAAAACCCATGAGGTGGGACAGGCAGCCCAATTCCTAGTCACATACAACTGTGGAATCAAAACCAAGCCACTTGACTCTATGAAAAAGTAGAACAAATATTAAAAAATTAAAAAAAATTTAAATTGGCAAGAGTGAAAATATATAATAATTTTCAGTGCTTGATTTAGGACATGGCTATTCCACTTATCAGGGCTCTCCCAATCCCCCCA